CGACAAGTCCTCAAAATGCGTTAGCCTGTTGGAAGTCCAGGGTTCTCATTTTGGACAGACACGTAGTGTGGATTGGACAGTGCTGTTCTTTCATGATGTGCCTTTGACATTATTGTCATTTGTGAGTACAATACCTATTTGTATTGCTTTAATAATTTTTTTTTAAGGTAATGCACTAGGCCGGTACACACTCAGTTTGTTTTCTTTATATCCAGTACATTTGGACTTCCCCGGTCCTCTGAGGGCAGCAAGGAGTGCACATTCCAGGATATCCGAGATGTAGTCATAGCCCATATTGAGTCCATCCCCAAGCGCCGGAGTATTTGGGTTTGCTGTTTTTGTAGATCCATAGGGGCTCTGTGCTGCAATGTTGGTCCCATATATGGGATACAGATGGTTAGGGAGGGGGCTAAGCTCAGAAACCCCCTCACTACCAGAGCTCTCCGACATCCCTACCCAGCCACGCTGTTTTTTTTTTTTTTTCCGTCAGCTGGCAGCTATAGCACCCAACACTGCTCCAGTTACTCATTTCAATGGCAAAATAGCCTTTCACTTTTCAGACCTTGCCATTTGTTAACCCTTGTTAGTGTCCTCTCCTGAACTTCTCATCCCGTTACAAGCCCTGTTTTTTTAATAAACCTTACATGCACCCCTTTTCTCAGTAACTTCAGAGCAGCCATTCTCTTTGAAGAGAACTGTAAGTTAGTTTACAGACACATAAAACAAACAGTGTCTTGGAACACAATCCCATTCCTTCTAGCTCAGGCTGCCCAGCTCATACCTTAGTGCCCTTCCAGAGTCAATAGAACAAAGTCTATTTAAGGTGAGTCCACTTCCTGGTACCCCGACTGGGTACCCAAAAAAGGAGGCCACATGTTCAATGCATCGCTACATTCTACAGCATTCATTCCTGTACATTCTCATGTGGAAGGCCCAAAAGCTCTTTATAGGCTGCCTCCCCTCATATATATATAGACTCCAACAAGAGGGCAGAGCCATGAACACATGGGAGTCGGCAGCCTTAACCCCTTCCTTATCCCCTGGGCAGCTTTATGCCCCATGACTATGTTACACAACCCTTAACTCATACTAAACCATATTACAACAGAAGTAAGTTACCACATATCCTAGTAGGCACCTGTCTACAAGAGGAGTCACTTTACATCACCAGTTTCACCAGTGCGGCTTCATGAGGAGAGAGTCCTATGCTTTCCTGTATCCGGTGTGGGCCAAACATGTTCACTTAAAATTAAAGAGTCAGTGTGTGTAATAGAAATGTTGGAATCCTAGGTAGGGCCTCCAGACAGTGATATAATGAATCTCATTCTGCTGCATTCCTTTCATGTAAAATCTAAGCAGGCAATCTATCTTCAAGGGAGTCCATCATATTGCCAATGGCAGGAGGGGGGAAAGTAAAACCCACAAGCAGATATGTTGCAATCATGGTGCCTAAAGTCATTGGGTGACTAAACACAAATGTATCGACCCAAAACTCCCAGTAAAAACATAAATCATTAAATCTCATACGTACATAATATCTGGCTATGTACATTTGGTGTTTCTCAGTGTCAAATGTATGTTCTAGTAGTTACAGAGTTTATATTTAAAACTCCAGCACTTTAACTTACCACCTGTTATACTGATTTCGATGAACACAATTTTTGAAAAATTTGGGACTTTTTCCAATGTTTTCCGTTTAGCAGAAATACATTGGAGTCAATGAGGAAGGTCAAATTAAAACAGAACTATACATCATCTGAGCACCACAAGCCAAAAACGCTATTTATTTCACTTTTATTATTCAGAGCAAACTCACACAATATCCATCCATCTATCCAACTCTCTATGCTTTATTGGCTGAGAAATCACTTTGGAAAACACCCCCAAGCATTTCTTAAGTAACGGCAGATGATTCATGTAGCATGTACTTCATGGAATCTATCTGCTTTTAGCTCAGGCATGAAGACAGGAGGGTGTGCTTAGCTGAGAAAACCCCTCCACCCCTCTTGAAGACTCCTGAGATGTATGGCATAATTTGCCTAGGCCTGGAAACCAGGAAATAACTGAAGAAATTTAAAAAAAGCAAATATGCTATATTTTACTATCTATTTACTAATGCTAGCAGCATAAGGATTAAAATATTCAATGTTGAGAAAGTTAAATACCTCTTAAAGGTGGTTTTTAACCGTGCAATGGGCTTTAAATGACTGCTGGCAGTTAGGGATGCTCCTTTCAATCATCCTGGACCTGTTTTGTGGCTAAAATTGCTAACCATATGGATAACCCTAGTGCTAACCATAGAATAAACCCTAGCTCTAGTGCTAACCCTAGATGTAACCCCTAGCTTATTAACAAATTCATGTGACTGTCATCTGAACCTTGTAATTGCAATTAGCTGTGATTAGCTGTGATCCCCATCTCAGCACTGACTTAGTGATCACATGATTTTGTTGATAAACAAAGGCATGTGATAACCGCTTTCCCACTGCCCTGTCGCAGAAATACTGCGACAGGGCTGCACAAAATCACACAAATATATACGTGATCTTGCATTTCTGGAAAGGGGCCACAGACGCCCTACTCGCTGTCGATCAGTGGGTCCCGGCCTTGATTCCCCGCCGGCACCCAGCGATCGGCGAGTATCACTGACGGGGGAGAGACCTGTACGTAAACAATACAGAGCATAGCAGAGCAATACAAAACAATGTGCTGACACAGTGAAAGACATACACAGCACACAGTAAAACAGCACCAGTACACAGTTATCCCTGTGATCACCCCAGATGTTAACCCCTTCCTACCCAGTGCCATTAGTACAGTGTTAGTGCTTTTTATTAGCACTGATCACTGTATTAGTGTCACTGGGGATGTCAGTGGCAGTTAGTCAGTTCCCCCCAGTGTCAGAATGCCCGCCGCATTCCTGCTATAAGTCGCTGATCGCCGCCATTACAAGTATGAAAAAAAAAAAGAATTCCAGTATCTATACCGCTATTTGTAGACGCTATAACGTTCACATAAACCAATTAATTTACACGTATTGGAATTTTTTTTAGCAAAGACATGTAGCAGAATACATTTTGGCTTAAATTTATGACAAAATTTGATTTTCTTAATTTTTTTACTGGATATGTTTTATAGCAAAAAGTCAAAAATATTGTTTTTTTCCTCAAAATTGTCAGTATTTTTTTATAGCTCAAAAAATAAAAAACGCACAGGCGATCAAATACCACCAAAAGAAAGCTCCATTTGTGGGGACAAAAAGGACATACATTTCATTTGGGTGAAGCATTGCATGATCGCGCAATTGTCAGTTAAAGTAACGCAGTGCTGTATCGCAAAAAATGGCCTGGCCAGGAAGGGGGGTAAATCCTCTGGAGGGCAAGTGGATAAAAACGCTCATCACATTGTTTTGTTTATCCATGTCACAGAGCTAGGAGAGCTGCAAACGCCAAGCATTAAAAAGGGACATTTCTTCAAGTTAATTTCACTGTGCGTTACCTCATGGTAAAATGAATGACTAATTTCTCCAAAATTTTAGCAAATGTGAAATTGATTTTTTCAGTTGCATACCTGGGATTCTCCCTTCAAACTACTTATAAATAAAGACTAAAACAGAGCTTGTGTGTGCTCTCTAGCTGGATCATTTGGTAGGGATTTTTGTATCTTTCATTGCATTGCACCACTGATGTGCACTTTTCCTTTGCTAGTTATAAAATGATTTTCCTGGTTTGTTACTTTTTGGATTAAATCACACATTCTGCAGTTGTTGGCATGGAAATCCTCACATCATACACAGGCCTTTATGTGTTTATGAAGCAGCACACAATCTGATGTGACTACCGGAACATCTATCAAGATATGAGCACTGGTAAGCAGCTGTTCTTATGATTTAAATTTTACAGTGTTTGCCTCATTTAAAAATTGTACTGATACGTTTATGTTGTAAAAATGGAAGGGACCATGGTTAGATGAGCATCCTTGATGGGATCTTTCCCACTCACTGTTCAAACAGAACACAGAAAAATCTGTACTTTTCTGGGAAACACTGAAACTTTCCAAGAATCGGAAGTCTGATTTAATACATATGTTATGTTATTCTGTATTGCTTCAGACGAAAACTTACTCAGAAAAAATGTCATGGATTCCATGTGAGCTTTTTCACGCTATGTCATGATTGTTGTCTTGATGCACCCTCCTGTTAGCTGGATGTAACAAAAAAGATATCTGAATAGCGCTGGAAAGACTGATGAGTTCCGATGGTATGCACAGATGACAATAAATTTTCAATTAAAAGTCCATATTAAAAAGTTCATATAAAAAGTCCTTAAAGTCTATAAATATATGTAGCTATGGGCAGCACAGTGGCTAAATGGTTAGCAATTCCACCTGGCAGTACTAGGGTCGTTGGTTCGAATCCCAACCACGGCACCACCTGCCTGGAGTTTGCATGTTCTCCCTGTTCCTGCGTGGGTTTCCTCTGAGTACTCCGGTTTCCTCCCACACTCCAAAGACATGCTGGTAGGTTAATTGGATCCTGTCTAAATTTGCCCTAGAATGTGTATGTATGAATGTAAGTTAGGGACCTTAGATTGTACACCCCTTGAGGGTTAGGGACTGATGTGAATGTACTTTATGTAAAGCATTCCGTAAATTGACCACTATATAAGTACCTGAAATAAAAAAAAAATAAAACAACCTCATTGGTCACTCCCCATAGAGTGAAGCATACTCTGTAAGAGTTTTTTTTTCTTCTCTTTTCCTTCTTCTTTTCTGTTATCTGGATGTAAATTTAGTTACTGTGATTTTCTCACTTTCACAGCCATTCCTGATTGCTGGTTCCATCTTAAAAGTCTTGGCAGAGCTGGCATCTCTCCTCTCCTCTAATGCCAGCTAGTCCAGGGCTTAAAATTTCAAGTCCTGAGCTACTAGCCAGACCTTAGGAGTTACTCGCCACCAACAAACACACACAAACAAACAGACACCTGTACACACACACAGACATGTACATACACACACAGAAACATGTACACACACGCACAGAGACACATGTATACACACACACACATACAGACACATGTATACACACACAGGCACGTACAGACACATGTACATACACAGAAATACACACGCACAGACACATGTACATACACACAGACACATGTACACACAGACACATGTACGTACATACACACAAACATGTACATACACACACAGACACATGTACACACACACAGACACATGTACAGATACACACATGTACATACACACAGACACATACACATGCATACACAGACACACACACACACCACCCCTATAAAAAGTTGCAGTACTTTGTTGTTCACTCAAAGAGGCAGGTACTGCACTCCAGGGGGAGGCAGAGAGCACAGCACACACTCCTTCCTTTGCTTTCACTGCGCTCAGCTATTGAGCAGTCTGATGGCTCCCAGTGCCAATGACAGATCCGGCCAGAGCTCCGAGCATGCTCAGCAAGACGGCCCTGGGGGACACACTCGCCCCCACTATAATTTCCACTTGCCATTGGTGAGCAGGCAAGTGGAAGTTTCAAGGCCTGAGCTAGTCTATTGATTAATTTGCAAATGGGGCTTTAATATACTTTTTTACAAAAATATCTCCATGATATCCTTTTTAGCTATAAATGGGAAAGATAAAAATATAAGTGAATTGAGATGATAGGCCAACTTTAAGTCATGATTTCACAGCTATTGTGCTTGTGTATGGATATCCAAATCTATTCATATGTGTTAGAATTGTTCATTACATACTATTGTTGTCAGGGCCGGATTTACTATAAGGCACATTAGGATTGTCCTTATAGACAGCAGAGATAAAGGGGTTGATTTACTAAAGGCAAGTAGGCTGCTCACTTTGTAAGAGATGTTGCACACTGCAAGAGGTACCATAATCTCATACAGTATTTGTCAAAAGATTAATTCAAGATAGAAGTAATACAAGCAGAACATATTATGTGTGAAAAATTATTCTAGCACCAGGATGTTGCTTTGGGCAGCAAAGATTGTGTGCCTACAAGTTCTTGTGATGAAATTCTGGCCCTGATTATCACCTGTCTAGTCAGCCCTTATTTGTTCAACTCGCTTCTTTAGTTCTGTTTTTCTGGGGGCCCCGCCATCATTACTTCAGATCTACTGTAGCTTGCATTTTATAGAAGGCAGCACTCATGCTATATCTAGAAAACTCTCCAGCTACTCAGCACAAAAAAAAACAACCAAAATGCTCAAGGATCTCATGCCAAAAACAGATACCTCTGCTGCACATACCAGCAAACACATGCCAAGACACACTGCCCACCAAGGTACCACTGCAAAGTTTGGTTTCTAACTAAAAACTATCTGATTTCCTAACTATGGGACATAAAGTATATAACAGGGGTAGGCAACCCTTTGAGCATAGTGTGCCAAAAAATGTTTTTAAAAAAATTGAGAGTGCCAGCTACAGTACATAAAAATCTCAACTTCACACTCATGAAAAGGAATTTTTATAACATAATTGCTCTAAACAACTTAAATAATAGTAAGAAATAAACACTGAGCTTTTTGAGAGCAATGGTAAGTGGTAAAGTAAATAATAACTTACCCCTGTTCCTGAAGATATGTGCTGCAAGGTAAGTATAGTATGCTTGAAATTAATCCCTCCCTCCTAGATTGTAAGCTCGAAAGAGCAGGGCAATCGAACCCCTCGTGTATTGTTTTGTTACTGTATTGTCTCATGTTCTGTCCCCCAATATAATGTACAGCACTGAGCAAACCTTCTGGCGCTATATAAATACTGTATAATAATAATAATAATATGCCAACTGGCATATTCAGATCAGTTATACAGAAAGAACACGAGGTGTGAGCGGGTAACCTAGTAAAGTGCCCTAATTCCTGTACCTTCACACCTTGGATCAGTCCCAATTCTTGCACCTTCACACCTCAGATCACCCCAATTATTATTATTATATTATTATTATTATACAGGATTTATATAGCGCCAACAGTTTACGCAGAGCTTTACAACAAAAGGGCAGACAGTACAATTACAATACAGATTAATACAGGAGGATTCAGAGGGCCCTGCTTGTTAGAGCTTACAATCTAAGAGAGAGGGTTGAGAGATACAAAAGGTAATAACTGTGGGGGATGGGCTGATGGACAAAATACATGTACAATTGTTAGGTGGGGGCAGGATAGGCCTCTCTGAAGAGATGAGTTATCAGGGATCGTCTAAAAGTGGACAGAGATGGAGATTGCCGGACACATTGGGAAAGGGAGTTCCAGAGGATGGGAGTGGCTCTGGAGAAATCCTAGAGGCGAGAATGGGAGGAGGTGACAAGGAAGCTAGAGAGCAGGAGGCCTTGGAAGGAAAGGAGAATGATTTGGTTGGTATTTTGAGACCAGGTTAGTGATTTAACTAGGGGCTGAGTTGTGGATGGCTTCAAAAGTTGTTGTACGTATCTTGAATTTTATTAATTGGGTGAGTGGGAGCCAGTGGAGGGATTGGCAAAGAGGGGTGGCAGACACTGAAAGATTGGTAAGGTGGCTGAGTCTGACAGCAGCATTCATGATAGATTGGAGAGGGAATAGCCTATGCAAAGGCAAGCCAGTAAGGAGGGAGTTGCAGTAGTCGAGGCGGGAGATGACCAGGGAGTGATTTAGAAGATTTGTGGTGTCATTGGTTAGGAAGGGGTGTATCTTGGAAAGGTTGAGGTGGCAAGCTTTGGACAGAAATTGGACGGGGGGCCGAAAGGATAGTTCATAGTCCAAGATTACACCTAGCACCCTGGCATGTGGGGAAAGGTTGAGCCGTTGATTTTAACAGAGCAGTCAGTGGAAGGGATATGTCAGAGAGAATTTCTGCACCTTCACAATTAGATCCACCCCAATTCCTGCAACTTCACACCTTAGATCCACCCCCATTTCTGCACCTTCACACCTCAGATTACCCAAACTCTTGTACCATCACACCTCAGATTACCCCAATTCTTGTACCATCACACCTCAGATCAACCTAATTCCTGCACCTTTACAGCTCTGATTACCCCAATTCCTGCACCTTCACACCTCTGTTGAGGCCCAATTTCTGCACTTTCATATCTCAAATAAGCCCGATTTCCTGCACCGTCACACCTCAGATCACCCCAATTCCTGCACCCTCACATGTCCGATCAGTCCAAATTTCAGTACCACCAGACCTCAGGTCAGCTCCAATTCCTGCACCTTCACACCTCAGATCTCCCAAATTCTTGCACCATCACACCTCAGATCACACCAATTTCTGCACTTTCACACCTCACATCAGCGACAATTACTCCACCATCAAACCTCAGATGAGGCCCAAGTTTTGCATGTTAAGATCTCAAATAAGCCCATGTCCTGCACCTTCACATCTCAGTAAACCCTATTTCCTGCACATTTCAGATCAGTCCCATGTCCTGCACCATCAGACCTCAGGTCACCCCCAATTAGCAAAGCTGGCCAAATGACATAAAGTATTCCCAGTTCAGGCTCAATTACAGTGAGCTCACACCTCAGAACACCCTCATTTCCTGCACCTTCGCACCTCAGATCTACCCAATTCCTGCACCTTCACACCTCAGGACAGCCCAAATTCTTTCACCTTCACACCTCAGACCACCCCAATTCTTGCACCGCCACACCTGAGATGATTTCCAGTTCCACCACTTTCACACCTCAGATCAAACTAATTCTCAGATCATTCACAGTTCATCCATCATGAGACCTCAGTTCAGTCCCAACTCCTGTACCTTTACACCTCGGGCTGCCCAGTGTGGCAGCTTTTCTTTTAGGCTTTCAAAACAGCTCTGTCTTCTTCAAACACAATAACCCTATCCCTTAAAGCTCACATGTTTAATAAGCAGGGCATTAGGGAGAAGTATTTGCCCTCTCAAATTATCTCCCTTCCCCTTAGCCCTGTTCCAGGCCGACACTTCACATTTGATTTACATTTTCTGCACATTTAAAGCCGAACTCTGAAATAGAGAAAAAGTTAGCTGCAGTGAAATCCACTCTGCATTGCAAGGGTTAAATGCTTGTTTGGTGAACTACTTACCTTATTTTTTTATCTCCCTGGCTGTCAGACACTCCAGGTATGTGGGCAGGGGCATCATACACAATACAGGTCCACAGGGCCTGCATTGTATCTGACATATGAGAGCTAGAGAAAAAGAGTGGCTTCAGAGCACTGGTCTTACAAAGAGGTTGAAGAGAGTAGAAAGGTAAACATTTCACCTCATTTTTACCCCCCCCCCCCCCAGACTAAAAAAGCATTTAACCCTTGCAGTTTGAAGGGGATCCGATGGGTAACTTTTTTCTATAGTTTGGAGCTCTGCTTTAAAGACTCCATACTGACAATTTTAATGTTTTCAAAAAATATACTTTGAAATTACTGAGTCCAAACAGCTTCTTTCTGCCAGACCTTGAGATTGCTTAACTTTTGATAACATTTATCTCTTGCCATTACCCTGAACATAAGCTTAAAAACAAAATGATTTGCTGGTTTAATGAACTCTAAATAATTTGGATTTAAGCTTTTTAGTGTCTTTCTGGAGATTCTGGAGAGCCATAACATATAACCATGGGGTGAAGGAACATAAGACCACACAACTGGGGTTGTTGCTCTTTTAACTTGTTATGTGAGCCTAAAGTATAACTAAAGGCAAAACTTTTTTTTTGGTTTTAGATAGAGAGGAGAGGGATAAAACCATCTGGCAGGTTTATATTGCTGTCTGTGCCCCCATTAGGGAGGTTCACCATCTCTATTTATCCTGTTTACCAATATTATCAAAAGTGAAAAAATAGAAAATCCCTCATTTTAGGTTGTCCCCAGAACAGTAATAGAGGGTAAATGTTCCAATAGAGATCCTAGTTCTGTGTGCCGCTTTGGGTGACAACCAGGGATTCCTTCACTTTGGTGGGATTTCCTCTCACTTTCCATTTTGGCTATGGGACATGAAGTGAATGGAAAGCTCCCCAAAGTCAAACAGGTGGCAAAATAGAGCTGACAGGAGTCACTATTTAAATTATACAGGATTTATAAAGCGCCAACAGTTTGTTCAGCGCTGTACAACATGAAGGCAGACAGTACAGTTACAATACAATTGTAATCAGAAACAGAGGAATCAAGGGACCCTGCTTGTTGGAAATGGAGGGTCAAGTGATACAAAAGTGTAATAACTGTGGGGGATGAGCTTATAAAGAGAAAATAAAAGTACAGTTGTTAGGTGGTGGCAGAATAGGTTTTACTGAAGAGAAGGGTTTTCAGGGACAGCCTAAAAGTGGAGAGTGTAGGAGATAGTCGGACAAATTGGGGTAGGGAGTTCCAGAGGATGGAAGAGGCTCTGAAGAAGTCCTCAAGGTAAGCATGGGAGGAGGTGACAAGGGAGCTAGAGAGCAGATCTTGGGAGAAACAAAAAGAACAATTTGATTGGTATTTAGAGACTAGGTTAGTGATGTAGCTGGGGGCAGAGTTGTTAGCATTTTGAATTTCATTTGTTGGGTGAGTGGAAGCCAATAGAGGGATTGGTAGAGATGGGTAGCAGACAATGAATGGTTGGTAAGGTGGATTAATCTGGCAGTGGCATTCATATCCTCCCTTACTTTATCCAAAATAAAAAATTTGCCTTTGGTTCTACTTTAACCACTAGCCTACCGGGCACTTATACCCCCTTCCTGCCCAGGCCAATTTCCAGCTTTCAGCACTGTCGCACTTTGAATGACATTTGCGCGGTCATGCAACACTGTACCCATATGAAATTTTTATAATTTTTTGTGACAGCTTTATTTTGGTGGTATTTAATCAGCTCTGGGTTTTTTATTTTTTCTTAAACCAAAAACCACTGAAAATGTTGAAAAAAAAAGTTCTTAGTTTTTGTTATAAAATTTTGTAAATAAGTGATTTTACTCCTTCACTGATGTGCGCTAATGAGGCTGCAGTGATGGGCACTGATAGGCTGCACTGATGGACACTGATAGGTGGCACTGATGGGCACTGATGAGGAGGCACTGGTAGGTGGCACTGATGGGCATTGACAGGCATCAATGATGGGCACTGAAAGGCAGCACTGATACATGGCACTGATATATGGCACTGTTAGGTGGCACACTGACTGGCACTGATAGGCGGCACTGACTGGCACTGATAGGCGGCACTGATTGTCAGCACTGATAGGTGGCACTGACTGGCACTGATGGATGACATTGAAAGGCAGCTCAGATGGGCACTGATATGTGCCATTGATGTGCACTGGTATGCACTGATATGTGGCATTGATGTGGCACTGATAGGCACTGGCACGTGGCACTGATCGGCACTGACAGCTGGCACTGATGGACTTTGACAGGTGGCACTGCTGGGGCTACACTGATCATCAGGGCACACTGATCATCAGTGCCCTGATGATCAGTGTACATGTCCCCTCCGCGGAAAGCCGATTACCGGCTTTCCTCTCGAGCCTCTGTCAGCGTGACAGCTCGAGAGGAGAGAAATGCCAATAACCAGCATTTCCGTGTTTACATGTGATCAGCTGTGATTGGACACAGCTGATCACATGACCGAGCCGACATTTTCGGCTCTTTCCGTGATCGGTGATCCGCTGTGTCCAAGGCCATGTGTGCAGAACCCCATGTGGCTGTGTTATTTTCAAATTGTGACAGCGGTCACGGGGAGAAGATCCCCTGTCTACCAGAGGACCCCCCTCCATGCCAGGTACCACGCTTCATTACAGGGTGCTGTATACTCTCCACCAGCCTTTGGTTACCCATAGCAACTGTTCACTTCCTCCACACCTTTGACGTTAACTTTTTGTAGTGTCCTTGCTTCATACCCCATGTTGGCTTTACTGGTCCTGTTCTTTCATACTCCAGAAACCATCATGCACTCCTTTGAATTACTTCAGACCAGGCTTAAAACACTTTGACAACTTTACTGTAACTCTTCATGGCACAAAAAATAACAGGCCCAACGTAGTCCAGACCCTAAAATACTGTAACTAGCCCAGGAATACCTTTACAGGTGTTAGTACATGACTGCCGATCTTCAACGACTGGTAGTGTCCAGCGGACCCCGATATCTCATGCGGTTACATGCTGGCTTTTAAACTCATGGGGGCTCCATGTACCTGGGGTGTTCTCTCTTCAACTCCTACTCGGCGCTCCCTCTCTCTCTCTTTCCAACTGGACCTTCCCCCCTGTTTATGTATCACACGGGGTGGAAGGTCAGCCCAAGACCAAATGACTGGCAACTGAGGTTCTGGAAATTAACCCCTTCCCCAGCCTGGGCAGACCATTAGCTAGGCTAGCATGTACTCCCTGTAGGCACCTGCCTACAAGCTGTCCAGCAGGAGTGCAAGTTAGAGGGTTGAGACAAACCATTTAACACTGATGGGGGAGATTACAATGATCAGCTTTTATTCATTTATGTAAAACCTTATTCCCAAAAGGGGAAAAAAACTATTGCTGTAACTGCTTGAAAAGTGTTAGCTAGAGTTCAGCTCCATCTCTAAATCTGCTAGTGCATCTAACACTCCCCTCCCCCCAGACTTACAGTGCTGCAGTCCAAAGGTGTTTCTGTCCTCCTCCGTCCAGAGTGGGGGGCACCCTAAGACAGGCGATGTGTTACTGGCCAGATCACCAGGTGAAAATGAAGGATAAAATACTGAAAAAGAAAACCAATGCAGCCATCACATTTAATGATAGGTGATTTGCAATATATTACATTTTTGTTTTTGGGTTTAATACTGCTTTAAGCCTGAAACAGAATCTAGTTCCTCTGTACTAAAGAATCGTTTCAAAGAGTATCACCTACTATTTTATTTGGCACGCACCTAAACTACAAATATTTAAAATGAACAGCTTGCTTTCCTTTAATGATAGACATGAAAGTACAAATGGCAGTTAGAGGTGCTTTGGCTGTACAAAATGGCTTCACAGGCACCTCTGCAAAAACCAACTGATGTAGAAATGTCTCCAAACATAAATGTTCTACTCTTCTTAAGAACTTATTAGTACATGAAAACTAATTGTGGGTATTAATCAGCATGCCCTGATTTGTTCATTTAGTTAAGTCCATTAAAAGAAAAAAAACATACCTTCAAAATCTGATTTCACAATAACACAAGAACATCAACTTAAACACAGAGTGTGAACTAAAGAGCTGACAGTCTAGGTTTGACCACCTTTCATATATCATCACAAAGTTTCTAATCTGCAATATAAAAATGTCATTTTTAATTGTATTTGTTGCTATGTAGCAACATCTCTGCAATTATCTTCCTGTAATTTCCTGTAGTGATTGAATATTAGGCCCAGCGGGGGTAAATGATAAAAACCCCAAAGAATGTTGAGATGCTTGTAGTAGCTTGCTATCATTTTTTTGATTACAGTAAAACAGCAGATATGTCACTTGTTCTGCCTTTCTCTCCTCCAGTGTAGTTTAGCATGACATCTAAGATTTGTACCTGGTATATACGAGGTGTATTTATAAAAAAGTAGCAGAGCTATTCATCCCATAAAACTGCATTTACATTTGTTCTGCGCATGTGGGGGCAAAACCAATTTTAATAGGCTATTTTCTCTCCGGGTCCAATTTTCTTTATTTACACAGAATAAATTAGGAAAATCTAGCATTATGGCCAGTAGATCCAGCTGGTGACCATAGGAAATATATACTTATTTACTATGACTGTCAGCACCATCTAGTGGCAGTAATGCTGTATTTTCCTGCAGCACTCAGGTTTTATGACTGAAACACATTCAGTCTGGAGAGAAAGTAGCCTGATAACATTCAAGTTTGCTCCCATTCCCAAAGACCAAATGTACATGTAGTTTCACAGGGTGAATAGTGCAGTAATATGTGAATAAACACACTCTTGAGTACACAACTGAGACTAAATTGTTTGCTGTGGCAGGGTTACTGGGTCAGATTTAAGGGCATATCACACACTTGTGCAATATGTTGATTGGCAAACTTTCTCTGCTATTCATACTTTAGAAGCAGTGTATATACTGTATGGGATGGTGTGTGGAGCTTCTGGTCTTTTTGGCTGGTAGCGGAAGCAATGTGGAACCAATGCACACAATATGTGACTGCACACAGTGCTGGGGTGCAGGACCTCTTCTGGGAGCAGCATTTGGAAAAGGGAGGGGACCTAGACTAAATCTTAGTTGAAAGTGTATGTTAACTGAACCATGGCAAACTGCGTGTGAGTAAGTACAGTGTGATGTGGCGGAGGAGAAGACAGAGTCCAGTCCCAATAAAATGTAGAATTTGTACTGAAGAAAATGCCAAACTACAAACACCCTAGAAGGGAGAGCACAGCTGGGGAAACACTCACAGTTCAGTTCAATAGCAGAGATGGAGGAGATGTGCTGACAGCGTCTGCTACAAAGGGCGGAGTGTGGCCTAGCCAGTCCAGTCTCAAAGGGGAAGAGTCCCTAACTTGTCCCTTCTCATCAGGATCTTTTCCCTGTCGCTAATTACTCTCCCTGATGAACGGTGTCTCTCTCCATACTTTATCTACTTCACAAAAGCTCACCAAAACCGGAAGGCAGGGATTTATAAAAGGCTCTGTTAACCCAAGATGGCCACCAGGGGTCACCTGGATGCAGCATAGCCAACCAGAACTGTTGCCTAGACCCAAGAAACCATAGAGAGACCTTGTTTCCCTGGACTTCCTCTCCAGCTGTGGTACCACTCAGGTCAAGTGTTACCTGCAGTGGAGAAAACAGACTGCACTTGCCTACATACGTGGACATGGATCTCTCCATCAAAGTTTAGGTATATGGAACCTTACAAACTTTGTGAAAACAGGAGTATCAGGGGTTGCTGATTTTGTATGCTATTGTTATTAAAGGTTTGCAACTAAGAATTTATTCAGTAAAACCCTGCTTTCCCAGCCTGGACTGTCGTTATTCCTTTGGTAAGCACAGAGTTAGTTTGATTATACATCTGTGTGAAGTGAACAGTTACCAGTGAAGCACTTGGGCCCTAGTGTGGGGCTGTAATCTGGTTGGGTCAGGGTGGGCTTTGTTCAGAGTTTTAGAGAAGTGGAAACTCTGAGGAGTGCCATTTAAAGATGACAGTGGCACCACAGCAAGGCTCTGGGTTCAGTGCTGATTTCCCTTAACTGAAGCCACGTGGTACTTTGAGCCTGAAGCAGTTAATTTCTCCACAATGTTGCCTCTGTACTTCTTACTACACAACAGTAGATTCCATCCTTGTGTACACTGGAAACCAGTGATGCACATGGACAGTTTGTGCTACTGTTCATAATGGTAGATTAACAGACCTGAAAACAGTCAAGGCAAGGTACAAGATAGCAGACAGAAAGAGGCTACAGCAACTCAGTAAAAAAGGCAGATTAACTGTCGGAATGCAAAGGTGTCTCACTGTTAGAGATACAAGATTATAAAGCCCTCCAGCAGAAGGACAGAGGTGAGGCTTAATGATGGAAATGCATAAATTGTGAAACAGTCACCCTTGTTTCCCCAATCCTCTCTTCCTCAAATGTTCTATCAATCCACTCTTCCTTCTGACTCCCTTCAGTTCTGTCTTCCCCCAGATGTGGTTGGCTAATTGTTTTGGGGTTGAAGGACTTCAGCCTCTCTGCACCCCTCTCATCGTGCCATATGACCTTATCTATATTTCCAAATGTCATGGGTGTGGAATTCCTTGAGAGTCAGTTGACTTCAGAGGAAATTACACCATCTTAGCTTTAAATTATATAGGACTAGCTTTACAATCCACATTACAATCAAACAATATAACCTGAAATTTCAACTTTTTGCAGCCATGTGTCTATCAAATGAAGAGCTAAATAAAAATATGTCCATGGTTCCATATTAGCTGCCACATTATTGTATGTAATAGATATGTTAAGAAGTCTGTACTTGTTTTCTTGGAACAAACAAGCTGGACACATTCAGTCACATTAAAAACCAGAAAGATACCCTTGGAAGTAACCCTTATTGACCCCAACTTAATCATTTCCTGCCACAAATTAAGGACATGAAGTTTGTTTGGAAATACAGAGAGACAGCAACTCTAAGAATGTGACTTGTACAGTCTGTTTCCCATGAATACCCACAGCCGTTCTCACGCCTCATTACTAAAACCACAGACTAGGCGAACCGCTACATCTACAATCTTTAGAGCAAATAACTATAAAGTGCATTGGAGTAACAAGGCCAACAAGAAGGATGTTTACTAAACTGAGTACAACTAGTGCCAGTATTCATAAAAAAATACACTTTTTCATTGATTGCACACTGTCCTTAACTGCTCCATTAACCTTCCAGTGCAATAAGTAGTAAATGAATTAGGTCAATGTGGCATGAAACAGGCAATATCACCAACTGTCCTTGCAGGAACCCACATACCCTAGGTGTCCTCTGAGTTTGGAGACAGATTGGCCAGGTAGCAGTAAACACCTCCAGTTTTCTACATTTGTCCAAGTGAGCATAGTCCATATTGGATGTATTCTCTTTCTCATTGTTCAGCATACTTGGATTTTCAGAGAACACCTCCAATACCTACTGAACAGGAGCTTTTCACTGATACCTCATGCTGTATCTCTTCCATGTCTGACCACATACATATCTACAGTATGTTCTCT